CCCCAACCTCCTCACTGTCCGAATGTGCTGCCAGCTCTGCTGGCCGCTGGCAGGCCACAACAATTCTGCATATCCCACAGCCACATTTAACAGACAATGAATAAACTACCAGTGGCCTTAGTCACATAGGCAAAATGGCTCTGCCTCTGAAAGTGGGACATTAACCTGGATGACTTTGAGACCAAAGCAAGCAGTGATGAACAGTGCTTGGAGTATCTACCTGTTTCATCCTCTTTCTCGCCATCTTCAGATTCTCCAAAAGGATTGGTACGTCTGCAACAGAACAACAACATTTCTAAAATACTATTTTCCAATACTAAGAGAAAGGTTAAATAAAAAAAATAGAGTTCCTTGTCAAAAGAAAGGTTGTTGGCAGCCCGTACCTTCCGCCCCTGTGCTGATCTAGGAACTCCGTTGCAGGAAGCACAATGTCAAACTGAATGGGAGTTCCAGGTGCAATTAACTCCATGGGGATGAGAGCTTCAGCAGACTCCTCTGGAACTGTCTGGTCATTCAGAATATCCATGCACCTCCCATCCTGGCTAAAAAGAAAAAAGAGACGAGAAGGGGGCCATTCGAAATATGCAATCAAAAAGCACGAGGGATTATTACGAATGGAGAATCCATTAAAAATAACCGAGGTACCATTTTTCATGTGTTTTACTAGTTTCAAAGGCTGAATGAGAAAGAATAAGAAGCAGAGTGTATTTTAAGCAAATACTTGTTCATTGGCATATGACTGATAAATATATGACCCTTTTATTATGTTGTGGAACAGTTCTCCACTTCATAACTAGAAGAGGAAATGCAGGATTAAATATTCCCCCAGGACAGAACTCTCTGCTTACACTAAAATTGCATGTTAGGGGAAAAGAAGGTTTTATATTCAGTGGGGAAGGACAAAACACAAGGCAAACACGAAGGTACCTGGAGGGGTGACCAGCCTGCTTTGTTTCAAAGCTCGTGATTGGAGTCACAGCTTGCAGTGCTGTCTGATTTAACCTAATGGCAACTGCCTGAGGTAAAACAGAAGTGCATCTTTAAGTAATACTGTTTAAAGTTCTTGCATAAACACAGAATCATAAGTGAACATCTCTTATAAGATAAATAAATTTGAAAAAAATAATCAAAACATGCTCACTTCTGGGTTGTCGGTCAGGTAGATCTGTCGTGAAATGTTGTTGATTGCACTTATCCACTGTGACAACAAAGCAAATATTTAAAATAAAGCACCTGGATATTCCTGAATTCTTAATTGGTAGAATTGATTTTATCTAACAAAATTAAAACTTTCCATTTACAGTGAAATGTTTTACCTCCTCATATTCCTTTTTGCTTTCTGCCTGGAGGGTTATGCCTCTAAAAAAAAAAATACACAGCCATTAGTATGATTTTATTTTATCGTTCTTGCTCAAGACTGCATGAATGAAAAATACAACACAATACAATTTGAGATCCAAAAGTTTGAATTCGCAGGATATTAATGGTGTGAGGATATTAATGTTGTGAAATCAGCCAAGCATAAAATATTCACATGTGTGGACAAAAAAGTCTTAGAGCAAAAAATAAGCTTCCCAGAATCACATTGTTTTGAGTTGGACGGCCTTAGAAATCAAATCAAACCAAATCAAAATGTTTTTGAACTTCTAGATTAAACATTCTGGCTCAAACGCCTGACCTTGAAACTGTTAGAATCACAAAGAAAAACCCTTATATCATGGTGTACAGATAAAAGCTTATTTGTATTTGCTGAAATATGCTTGTGTGCCTTCAAGTCATTATCGACTCCTGGTAATTGTCAAGGCAGTTTTCTTCCAAGGTT